GGGAGCCCGACATGGGGCTTGATCCTAGGACCCCCGGATCATGACCCCAGCCTAAGGCAGACACTTAACTGACTGAGCCACCCAGCCGCCCCACTAATAGAATTTTCTAATGTGTGTGTTTTGGAAGGGGAGAGAGAGAGAGAAAGACAGAGGAGAGGGAGAGAGAGAGACAGAGAGGAGAGAAATCAAGAATGAATGTAAGGTGTTTGCATGAGCTGAAAGAATGGGGTTGCCATTTATTGAGATGGGAGAAGAATGTGGAAAGGGCAGCATTATGGGGGCAAATCAGAAATCTGATTTGGAATATGTTAACTTGGAGATGCCTTTTAGGCCTCCAAACTCAGATGATAATAAGCCAGTTAGATACACAAATCTTGAGTGTAGGGACAAGTTCTAGGCAGAGTTAATATATATAAAGTGCTTAAAACAGTGCCTTGGATGTCCTTTTAAACTAAGTCATGACTCTCTTTTATTCAAAACTCTCCAGTGACTCTTCAGTTTATTCAGAGACAAAGGCCAAATCTTTACAGTGTGCCTACAAAGCATATATCTGGACAGCATGTAATCTGCTTTGCCCCACCCCCAACTTCTTCTGCTTTGGTGATGGTAGTGCTATAGCTGCTTAACAAATAAACTCCACAGTACCAGGGGCTTAACATAACTGAAGTTTATTTCTTGCTCACAAAACAGTCCAGTGTGGGCACACCTGGGTGGCTCAGTCGGTGGGCGTCTGCCTTCGGCTTGGGTCGTGGTCCCGGGGTCCTGCGTTTGAGCCCGGCATCAGGCTCCCTGCTCCGCGGGAAGCCTGCTTCTCCCTCTCGCACTCCCCCTGCTTGTGTTCCCTCTCTCGCTGTGTCTCTCTCTGTCAAATAAATAAATAAAATCTTTTTTTTTTTTTTAAAGATTTTATTTATTTATTTGAGAGAGAGAATGAGCACATGAGAGGGGGGAGGGTCAGAGGGAGAAGCAGACTCCCTGCCGAGCAGGGAGCCCGATGTGGGACTCGATCCAGGGACTCCGGGATCATGACCTGAGCCGAAGGCAGTCGCTTAACCAACTGAGCCACCCAGGCGCCCCATAAATAAAATCTTAAAAAAAAATAAAAACAAAAACCAAAAAAAACAAAACAGAACAGTCCAGTGTGGGTATTCCTGGTCAGCTGGAGCCTTTCCTCTATGTGCTTGATTCAGGGATCCGGGCTCCTTCTGTCTTACCATTCTTTTTTTTATTTTATTTTTTTTTATTTTTAAAGATTTTATTTATTTGACAGAGAGAGAGAGAGAGACAGTGAGAGAGGGAACACAGCAGGGGGAGTGGGAGAGGGAGAAGCAGGCTTCCCGCAGAGCAGGGAGCCCGATGCGGGGCTCCATCCCAGGACACTGGGATCATGACCTGAGTCGAAGGCAGACGCTTAACCATCTGAGCCACCCAGGCGCCCCCTGTTTTACCATTCTTTAGAACCTTAGAATCCTCTACTTTTAGCTGGTGGAAGGCATAAAAAAGAGAGAGAAGCCTTATTTGCTTCTTAAATACCCTGACCCAGCGGTGACACACATAAATTCCTGTACACATTCCATTGGTGAGAACTAGTCACGTGGCCACATCTAGATGCAAGTGGGACCGGAAAAAGTTGCCATGACCAGACAGCTGCTTCCTAGGAACAACTCCACACACTGTGGAAGGAGAAACTTTTGGTGAACTACAAGCTGAATCCACCACACCTTCTACAATCTTCTACCACTCCTCCCACCCCAACGCTTCTAGCTATCCTAACCTTCTTATAACTCCTTGAACACTCTAGGCACACTTTGGCTTCATGCCCTTTCCTGGAATTATCTTCCCTCAAATGTCCCCTTGCTCTCTTTCATGTCCTTCATCGTGAAATGGGTGTCCCAATATGCCACTTATTAAGAGTATATCATGTCCCAGATATATGAAAGTCCTTTTTCCATTGATTATTTTTTAAAAAGATTTTTATTAATTTATTTAACAGAGATAGAGAGCACAAGTAGGCAGAGCGGCAGACAGAGGGAGAGGGAGAAGCAGGCTCTCCGCCGAGCAGGGAGCCCTATGCGGGGCTCGATCCCAGGACCCTGGGATCATGACCTGAGCTGAAGGCAGCCGCTTAACTGACTGAGCCACCCAGGTGCCCCTCCATTGATTTTTAAAAATTAATTTAAGAGGGACGCCTGGGTGGCTCAGTCAGTTAAGTGTCTGCCTTCGGCTCAGGTCATGATCCCAGGGTCCTGGGATGAGTCCCGCATAGGGCTCCCTGCTTAGTGGGGAGCCTGCTTCTCCCTCTGACTGCTGCACCCCCTGCTTGTGCTCGTTCTCTCTCTCTCTCTCTGACAAATACATAAAATCTTTAAAAAAATTAATTTAACAATTTTCAAAGCAATCTTGTGAAAGGCGCCTAGGAGTGGGGATTTAAACACTAAATCTAAAGAGCATCCAGTTCTGTTTTCTCTCTGACTCTCAAAAGAAGCAATCACTCTGCCAAACGTATTTCCTACTGGGAAGGAGATCACTTTATGGTTGAGTATTCTGGGCCTCTGAGCAGTTACATTTCCCAGGGCAAATTAATACAGTTGGGCTTTTGTTTCAAACTTGTGTTTTATGAGTTGAGTTAGTGTGAGAGATCTCCCAACACCTGCTTGCCCTGGATGCATCGGATAAAAAGTCTCTGGACTTTCAAACTGAGGCCTTATAAGTCTTTTTCAAGTCTCTTCTTCCATATCACCCCCAGTGGTCATTTTAAGATGTCGGTCAGATCATATCATTCCCCAGCTCAAATTCCTCTAAGTTACCACCCCTGACACACACTCTACAGGATAAATTCTCTGGCCTGGTATATGAAGCCTTTCCTGCTCTGTCCCTCTCCTCTTTCCCTGGTTTCATCCCCTTTTAATTCTCCATTTCACATTGAAATGAATTACTTGCTGTTGCCTGAATGTACCATTTTAATCTGTCACTCCCGGTTGTTGCCCATGCTTTCTGAAACATCTTTTTTCTCTCCCTTTTTATTTGAGGAATTTCTTTGATCCTTTGGAACTCACGTTGGATTATACCGTCTTCTGGAAGCATTCCCTGACCATCTCCCAACCTGGGGAGATGCCCCAGATGCTGTATAATTATTTAGCTCTGAGCCCCTCTACTGCCTCTGTGTCCCCAACATACAGGATGGAGTGGGGCATCATCCTGAATAGGCTTTGTGAAGCTACCTTCTCCTCCCCACTTTTTTTTTTAAAGCCCAATGCAGAGCTTAAACTCACGACCCTGAGATCAAGACCTGCACTGAGATCAAGACCTGAGCTGAGGGCGCCTGGGTGGCTCAGTTGGTTAATCGGCTGCCTTCGGCTCAGGTCATGATCCCGGGGTCCTGGGATCGAGTCCCGCATCGGGCTCCCTGCTCTGCGGGGAGCCTGCTTCTCCCTCTCCCTCTGCCTGCCTCTCTGCCTACTTGTGCTCTCTATCTCTCTGTCAAATAAATAAATAAAATCTTAAAAAAAAAAAAAAAGCTGGTCTCCTCTCTTATGCTGGAAAGGTCTCGAGAGCAGGGACAGGGACTGTTTAAAAAAAAAAAAAAAAAGACCTGAGCTGAGATCAATAGTCGGATGCTTAACCAACTGAGCCACCCAGTGCCTCTTCTCCTCTCCTTTTTGTCCCATCAGTTCAGGCAGGTTACATACAGGGAGGGGCAGGTGCTATGGTTCCCAGTGATGTTGGTTGTGACCTCCAGGCCACCCTCCCCAAGAGAACCAATGCTTGAGAGAAGTACCCAGGAGAGAACTCAGGAGAAAACCCATGGTTGGCCCTTGGGGAAACCAGCTGCTTTCCAGAGTCCTTAGTGGCAGCCTGCCAAAGCAAACCTCTTGCTGGAATAAAAATTAAAAAAAAAAATTATTATTTATAATAATATGGTATGCCATCTATGTTCCAGGCACTATTATGACCATTTTACCAGTTTGCACATTTATCTTATGTAATCTTCACAAAAATATGACTGCTGGCACCTGGAGAGTGCCTAAGGTCGCATAGTAAATGACAAAGTCAGGATTCAAATCTGAGCATTCTGTTTCTAGAGCCCATGATAGTAACCATCATACTATATTGCCTTCCTGGCTTCTGATCTCCAGTTTCCTGCCTATCTTCTGTGTGAAACCAAATCAGAGGGTCCCAAGACAAGGGCTAGGAGGCAAGTTTCTCCACTTTCTCTCAGGAGGACCGGCTCAGAGATGGATCTGAAAATTCTCCTAAGTGGAAGGGGAGCTCCTAAGTGGCCTGAGCCCCTGGAGGCTCCAGGAGAGAAAAGGGGACAGTCTGGTGCATTTCCCAAGGCCTACCTGGGGTGGTGGGTGAGGCAGCTGGGAGCTGACCAGGAGGAGCCCAGGATTCTTGTCCGGGTTTTGTCTCTTAGAGTCTATATAGTCCTTGTTTCTTTCTAAGCCTTAGTTTCCCCATTTGTAAAAAAAGGTAAATATGGGACTGGCTGATCCACCTCCGCCAAAAAAGGGGGCATCTTCAGCTCTCCTGAGGAAAGGGCAGGGCACGGAAGCCAAGGTGCAGAGGCTGAGGGAAAGAGCTATCTGGGGTCTAGGTCTAGCCTGGAAATGGGACGAGGTGGGCTGCCGAGCTCAGTCCTGCGACCCCATCCCTGTGACAGGGCCGCGTTAAGGAGACGTCGGGACCTCCAGTGGGAGGAGTGGGGGGGGGACAGAACATGGACCAGGGTCTCAGCTCTGCGGCATGCGCCCACTCATCCCTCACCTTCTTATCCTCTCAAAAGGAGTCGCAGCCTCGAGGGGGTGGCGGTTGCGGGTGACCAGGCAGTGGCCGGCCGCGTTGCGGCGGCCGCCTGGGAAGCTGCGGCCCTTCGGGCCCGAAGAGCATCACGTCATCCTTTCCGCCAGGCGCCCGCCCCCTCCCCGACGGCGCCTGCGCAGGCGCGGCGGGAGGGGGTCGCGGGGGGGGCTCTCCTCCGCGCGTTCCGCCCTTCTCCAGGCTCGCTCCGGTCGCGGCGCTCTCGGCTGGCGGCGGCGGCGGCGCGGAGAGGAAGGCGTCCAGGATGCGGCGCGGGGCGGCCCGGTGCCCCCCTGCCCCGTCACGGCAGCCGCGGCGGCCGCGGGGACCGGGCCAGGGCCGGGGGCGGCGGCCCGAGCCGCGGTAGCGGCGGCGGCGGCGGGAGGGGCGGCCTGAGGGCGGGCGGGCGCCCTGGTGCGGGGGCTCCGCGCTCCGCACGGCCCGGCCCGGCTCGGCCCCGGCGCCATGAGCGGCGGCGGCGGCGGCGGAGGGGGCTCGGCGCCCAGTCGTTTCGCCGACTACTTTGTCATCTGCGGGTTGGACACCGAGACCGGGCTGGAGCCGGACGAGCTGTCGGGTGAGTGAGCGCGGAGCCCGGGGCTGCTTCCCCGCTCCCGTTGCGGCCGGGGACCCTTGAGGAAACCTCCCCGCTTTGTCCCGGGAGCTGGGCGAGGGCCGATGCGCAGGACCCACGGGTGGCGCAGGGGAAGGGGGCGTCGGGCTGGAGGTGGGGAAGCGGGATGAGGGGTTCTGAGTCGGGAGGGGTCCGAACGGCCCCTACGCCCCTCTGCGCTGTGGTCCTGTAGTAGGGGACCAGGAGGAGGGGGAAGCGTTGTGGGTTCTGTCTGGTGACTTAGTACAAGATGAAGGTAAGCCTGTTGTCGAACACCCGCTAGGGAGGGAGGAAGGTATTCCACATCTCAGTTGAAAGTAAGTTCCACCCAGACTTTAAAAAAAAAAACAAAAAAAAAAAACAAGGAGAGCAAAACAGAAACTTGTTGAGTTTTTCTGGCCTCTTCCCAAGAAGCCTGTTCCTCAAAACCGTTCTAACTCAGCCCTGGGCTGGGCCCCCTGGTTTCATAGGACATGAAGTAATAAAGTGAACTTGAGCCACAACAAGAAGGGTGAGAACTCTCTTAGTTCCAGAAAGGGCCTGCACCACGGGGCCATGCCTCTTTTTATGAAAAGTAATTGGTGGCTGTTAGGAGACCAGCTTCATTCGTGAGTAAAAGGGGAGATTCTTGGTTGGGTAGTGATGCTTCTCAAGTCATCTTTCAAAGGGAAAGTGAAGATGGGGCCCAGATCAAATTGACAAGAATTGAAGAAGAATGTCATAATTGTAAAATCCCCATGAATTCCACTGCACTGTCATTGGAGCCTTTGAATTGCAACAGTTTTGAAAAAGTTTTTGTCTGGAGTGTCCAGTTTGCAGGTTTCATGTGCGTGGAGGTTTGTTGTATCATCCTGATTTGATGAGGAATCTTCCTTTCCAGTGTTTTGTCATGATGTATTCACCAAAGTTTCCTGAAAGTGATTATGCTATTGACTAATTTTACCTTGCTTCGGAGATAATAGGTTAGGGTTTTTGTTTGTTTGTTTGTTTGTTTTTTGTCACTGGAGAAATTCCAATGTTTCTTATGAAAAAAAATTTAGGTGCATACTTCAAATGACAACAATAGACCATCTTTTAAAAAACACGATAAATTGGTGACCTTTAACAAGGTCAGAACAAATATTTTCTCAAATTAATACTAGATGGAGAAAAAAAATCATGAAGCAGTAATGCTCTTAATACTGGGCCTTTTGTTGGGGCAACATTATTGTTTCAAGATCACTTTTTTAGGTCTTCAAATTCTTATAATACAGATGTTAGTTTTTCATCTATGTTTCATATTTATTAAATTTGTGACTTTGTGATGTAGTTGTTGGAATTTGGTTCATAATGTTGGAGCTGGAAGAGACCTCAGAGAGGAAAATGAGCCCCAGGAAGGACAGTAGGGCCTACATTCTGTTAGTTAATTGCCTGACTTTTGGTTTAGTGCTCTTCTCTTACACTAAACTGCATCACATTGCCTGGTTGGGTCTTCAGAAAACATTAACATGTTGAGAAAGACTAAAAATAACACAGTTCTCCCCAGTAAAAGAAACTTTAAAGTGGTGGAATACACAAGTTTTTTTTTTTTTTTTTTTTATGCTGTGCTTTTGAGTGTCTACTGAATTATATAGAAATTTGATTTTAGGGATGCCTGGGTGGCTCAGTCGGTTAAGCGTCTGCCTTTGGCTCAGATCATGATCCCAAGGTCCTGGGATCAAGTCCCACATCGGGCTCCTTGCTCAGCAGAGAGCCTGCTTCTCCCTCTGCTTGCCACTCCCCCTGCCTGTAGTCTCTCTTTCTCTGACAAATAAATAAATAAAATCTTAAAAAAAAGAAATTTGATTTTAGACAATAAAGAGAATGGTTTGCAAATGGTAAAGCATAAGAATGAAGCTGGGAAGTGATGTGTTAGTGAGAGTATGGGTTTTGCAGTTAAACATGGGTTTTGCAGTTAAATACTACCCTCTGCAATATGTTGGCTATCTCTGTGACTATGGGGCAAGTTTGATAACTCTGCTGGGATCTTCATCTATAAAAAAGGGAATGTAAGTAAAAAGCATTTCATCAAGTAGACACTCAAAAATGTTACTTTTAGTGAATATCTGTTAATTATCTGTTTTTTCAGCAAGCTAAAATTATATCCCTGTGAAAGCTTATTGGGAGAATAAAGAAGGGGGGAATCAATTGTATAAAATGTGTGAAGAAAGAGTATTTTTTCTGTCTTTTTAAATGTGGTTGCAGTAGTGGAATGCCAAGACCATTTATTCAGTAGGTGGCCTTTGTTCGAATGGGCACTGATTGAAGGGTTTCTTTTTTGCCTTCATTTCATTTCTGGTGAGTTGGTAGGGGAATCTGGACTACCCAGGGGGAATCTGAATAAAATAAAAACAGAATACAAATAGCTTTATGCAGGTCAGTCTTGAGACTCTCCAGGGTGCATTTTCTCTCCATAGCTGGCCTTATAGCTCTCAAACTGGTGATGTCATAGTAAGTGAAACTATAAGAAATTGTGAATTGCACCCAGGTCTTTAGGGAGATACTGAGGAGTCTAAGTTCTCTCTATGCAAATTAAGTTCTATACTTCAGATAACTTATATACTCTTACAAAGGGAATCCAGAACAGGCAAATCAAAGACACTTATTTGTTCCTTCTAGTTTTGCGGAGAAGGATTAAGATTCATTCTCATGTTGCAACAATAAGCATAGAGCTTGCTGTGTTGAATATAAACTCAAATCACTGGATTGTGTAGGATTCTCTCCCTGCCACTTCCCCTTTCTTTCAGACTTAAGTATTTAGGCAAGTCATATGTTTATTTGTTGTGCAAGGAACTGAGGACGGTATGAAAATTGTTTTCTGGTTAGTTGAGGTATTTTGGGTTGGAGGGGGAGGTGATCAATGAATGAATCATAAGTTTAGCCAACTTTAGGAAATAGTGTCTGCTTGTTAGCTTTTTGAGCTTGTCAGAGAGATAAGCAAATCTGTAAGAATTGCCTTTGATTTATGTTTTCCATTCCTGTTGGCTCATCCTAAGTGGGGAGGCAGATGGTAGTAGAGTCCAGTCCCTCTTTACCTTGATGTGTGGATGTCCTGGGTGTCTTAGTTTCCCCTTTTTCTTTTTGTGGTCGCCACCAGTGACTGCAGGAGAAGGCTTACTGTGAGATGGGATTCCTGAGTTTAACTTTCCCTGTCTCTGCCTGAGAATTAAGGTTCCAGAATACTTGTGACCTATTTCTTACTTCGGAATCTTTTTAAGTTCCTCTGAACTGACCTGCACCTAGCATTGAGATGTATTCTTGGTTCATGCATCCACTACTCCAGTTTTCCCAGGTTCTGAGCAGAGGGCCTTGCCAAGAATTGCAGAGAAGGGCTTGGGGCCATAGATAGGAGACTGGCCAGTGTACTGTATGAGTCTATTTAGAATACTGAGAATATACTGAAATCATCTCTTAATATCAGTTAGAAGAGAGAAAAAATGCTTACTGACTAGGAAAATCAGAGGACTGGTGAGATCATATTCCTCCTTAACCATATTGAGCAGTGAATTTAGAACCTAAAATTCATGGCATATCAAGTGTGGAAGCATGGTTCAAGAGATTATATAACCTTCTGATTTTACAGATGAAGAAACTGAGGCCATGAGAAGGTTGGAGAATATTTTTCTCCCTTGCCATATGTCATTCTTCTTTTCTGCTATTTGAGTGATGCTTTGCAGTAATCTGTTGAGTAGAGGGGACAAGTAAAATATTTGGCAGGGGCAGGAGCAGACATTATGGCAGTTCTTCTGGTGCAGGTTTCTGTTACATGTTAAAGAAGAATACTATGTGTGATTTTCATGAGGGGTATCTTATTTTTTTTAGCTTTTTCATTTCATATAATTTCACACTGAACATTGACATGAATAGTACAAAGAACTTCAGTACATCCTTTTTCCAGATTCACTGATTAACATTCTGCTCCATTTATTTTATCACTTGTATGCGTATATTCTCTTTCTTATATATACCTATATATAGACAACTTCATTGTGATGAAATTCATATACCATATAATTCACATACTTAAAGTGTACAGTTTAGTGGTTTTTAGTATATTTACAGAGTTGTACAATCATCAGTATAGTCAATTTTAGAATATATTCATTACCCACCCCCCCAGCCCAAGACCCATACCCATTAACAGTCACTCCCCATTTCCTTCCAACTCTGTAACGCTCCTCAGCCCTAGGCAACCACTAATCTACTTTTGATCTCTATAGATTTGCTTGTTCTGAACATTTCATAAAATGGAGTCCTATAGGGTCTTTGTGACTGGCTTTTTTCATTTAGCACATTTTCAAGGTTCATCCATGTTAAAGCATTTATCAGTATGTTATTTCTTTTTATGGCTGAATAGTATTCTGTTGTAGGAATATACCACATTTTATTTATCCATCAGTTGATAGACATTGGGTTGTTTACACTTTTTTTTTCTTTTTTAAAGATTTTATTTATTTATTTGACAGAGACACAGCGAGAGAGGAAACACAAGCAAGGGGGAGTGGGAGAGGGAGAAGCAGTCTCTCCACCGAGCAGGGAGCCCGACGCCGGGCTCAATCCCAGGACCCTGACGCCGGGCTCAATCCCAGGACCCTGGGATCATGACCCGAGCCGAAGGCAGATGCTTAATGATGGAGCCACAGGCGCCCCTGTTTATACTTTTTGATTACTATGAATAATGCTGCTGTGAACATTGTGTACATGTTTTTTTTTTTTTTTTTTAAGATTTTATTTATTTGAGAGAGAGAGTGAGAGAGCACAAGCAGGGGGGCGGCAGAGGGAGAGGGAGAAGCAGGCTTCCCACTGAGCAGGGAGCCTGATGTGGGGCTCTATCCCAGGACCTTGGGATCACGACCCGAGCTGAAGGCAGACGCTTAACCGACTGAGCCACCCAGGCGCCCCTGTACATGTTTTTGTGTGGAGATATATTTGCATTTCTCTTGGGC